CCACCTCGGAAGGATGGAAGGCTGAGTCAACCCTGAGCCGGTGAGATTTGAACCGCTGAACTGCTGATCTAGCAGTAGCCTGCAGTGCTGCATTTAACCACTGCGCCACCTTGGCTGAAATAAGTGTTTAATACTAACATACTATTACAAAGGTAAGATATCAATTTGGTTACTTAGTCTGAGTCTTAGCTGGAGTTGATGGGATCTCAAGAAGAGAGAGTTTAGAATTTAGTAAACCAAGATCTATGAATCAGCATGTGGAAAGGTGAAGGCAAGGATGTGAATCTAGTAAACTACTGTATTTTTCGGAGTATATGATGCACCTTAGTTTTGGGGGAGGAAAATGGAAGGAAAAAATTCTGCCTACCAGGTATTACAGGCTAGTCCTTAGCGTGGTCAGCTTCAGGACATTAGTTCGCTTGCTGGTTTTGAGGTTGGGGATGGTGGGGATGTGCTTCTAAAGCACAGCTCATTGTCGGAAGGAGCAGCAATTAGAAACGCAGGCAAAGAATGGAAGATCACTTAGCTTGTGTTTAGACTGAAAAACAGCTTCAAGGCTACATTCAGAGTATAAGATGCACTCAAATTTCAGCGTCTTTTAGGAGGGGGAAAAAGTGCATCTTATACTCCAAAAAATATGCTTTATTTTATTTTATTTCATCTTTAATTTCTTGGCTTATTGCTTCTTTTTTTGCGCACTTTGCATAATACTAATTACTTTGAAACAGAATAATATAATGAGTGTGTACATAGTTTTATATACAAATTTTTGCTTTATATAAGGGATAATATAGTACCAATAAAGGAGAATATTTGAAGCTCAAGATTGAAATGATGGGTTCTAAATGCTGCCTGAGTTTGCTTCTTTCCTTGCAGATCTTTCACTATCCTAACTAAGTAACCTCATCAGTGCTAGTAAGGAGTGCTGTTTGCTGCCAGTTTATATTCTGGTGACTTGTCTATGTGGGTGAGTGGGGAGAGTCTTAGATATGCTTCGATTGGGTTATTTACTGATAGCTCTTTGGCAGTTTCTTGATTGGGGTATTGTTTACTTGATTGTTGGTCTGAAGTTAGTCTTGGAGTTAATCTATGCTAATCTGGGTGCTGATTACTGGTGGAGAGGTCCTTGGGTCTTTATGTTTTCTTTTGGGCTGGTTGACTGTCTCTTTTGTATAGTCTATAGATGATGTTAATGTCTAGCTGTATATTGATGGCTGATTTGTCAGAGTGCCAGGCTTTTAGAAATTTCCTGACATTTTTGGACTTGATCTAGTCTAGGACTGTCATATTTTCCCAATTGAAACTATAGTTAAATCTGTCTATATGTTGTGAAATTACATTTTTTTGTCATGTCTTCTGACTGCTGGTTGGTGTTCAGGGATGTGTTCTGTCAGTCTTCTGCTTGTTTGTCCTACATAGTGGTTATTGCCGTTCTTACATTGTATGCTGTAGATGACTCCCGTTTTTTCTTCTGAGGTTGCTGGGTCTTTTGGTTTGCTTAGGACATTTTGAAGGGTTTTATTTGGATTGTGTGCTACATTGATTCCATATGGTTGTAGTAGTCTGTTGGTGGTTTCTGAGATATTCTTCATGTATGGTAGTATAATTCTTTTTAGGGTTTGTGTTGGTTGTGCTGTATTGAGTTGAGTGGTCAAGGTCTTTTTGATAAAGTTACATGGGTATCCATTTTGTTGGAATGTGTTGTATAGATGTTCCATTTCCTTTTTCTGCTATTCTGAGTTGCTGCAGTGTGTTTTGGTTTGTTTAAATAAAGTCCTTAATGAAGTGTTGACTTCATCTTGTGAGATGCCCAAGGTTTTTTGTTAATTTTTTTTGCAATGTTGTATATAGGGGTCTCTAGTAGAGATACGATATGCCAGCTAGTGTATTTTGGGGCATCTGTAGAAAAGTAGGAGGATTGATCTGCTGCTTCTCATCTGCTACTGTTCCTTTTTTGTAATTTGGCCTTTCTTAGTGAAGTCACTATGGGTTCTCTTGATTTGGTTGTCTAGTTTTTGTATTCTATTGGTGTTCACAGGGATGTAGGTTTCTTTGTCCTGCAGTATTTCTTTTGCTTTTTGTTGGCATTGTTCTCTGTCCATAATCACTCTGATTTGGCTTTTGTCTGAAGGTTAGATGATGGTCTGGTCCTGTTTTAGGTTTCTGACAGCTACTTTGTCTTCTGTTGTAAGTTAATTCTTTTCCTGTCTTCTTCTAATCTCTGGAATGATGCTTTGTCTAATGTTTTATTGGAGCTCTGTGGTGAGTTTGGTGGTTTTAAATGCCACTTCTAAGGTTGCAAAAAAAATCTAGGTAATAGGCATCACCTGTATTATAGTTAAGTTCTTTTTGTAATATCCTGTGTTCTGCTGTGGGATAATATAGGATATGCTTTTTTTCTCCTTTAAAAACTAGAGTTTTGATCACATAGAAATGAAAAGGAATAATCACCTATTTGGAACTATAGTTTTTCCAGTGTGTTGATGGCTGCCATCAACAAACCAATCAACCAATAGGAAGGCACCACATAAATATGACTTACAGAATAGCCCAAAGCCCATATTCCAGTAGGAAGAAGCTCCCTGATATTGGGCATGAGCCCGAAAGTTTGGAAGAATAAATCTCTGGACCCAGTGATCAATCAATATTCAATCTTATTTTTTTAAAAAAACTTCAAATGCCTCCTTTTAAAACAATAGATATGTTCCTGCTGCACTATTAGGAGAGATAAACTGGGCAGACCAAAATCAAGATGTTAAATAGGACCTCAGCCATCAACTATAATTTTTCTTTATAGATTCTCCCAATTCTCTACTCACCCATCCCCAGCTGATGAGTTATGTTGAACAAGGTTAAACCAGAAGTCAACTCCTTTTCTTGAACTCTATCCAAAGTCAACTAACAAGGGAGAGGAAATCTACTAAGTACTGAACTTTTAAGAAGTTCTGTTAGGCTAACTGTTGCACTTACTTCTGGATTAGGATAAAGAACTTCAAGTTTCTTTTACATGCACAAAATATTGGCTCAGCATTTTATGCAACAAGCCAAGAATATCCAATTGTTGGTGTTGTAATCAAACTGAAGAATATGCCATCTTACCTTCAGAATTGATATCTACAATATTTTCCATGTATCTGACCATTGCGTTGATATCACTGTCCTGTCAACCAAAGAAGATAGTGAATTAGTTGTTTCAACAAAAAATACTGAAAATTGGGAACAATGCAATTTATTATTGGATTGTTACAAGTGAGTTACTGAAGATCAATAATGCAAGTTAAGAAAAACATATTGACATAATCAGAAACGGCAATTAAGGGCTGTTCAGAACGGGACTAGAACAACTCGCTGCAGTCAATTCACCATGGTCTATTTGTTGCAGGGCAATTTGCCATGGGACAAGAGTTACATTAATATTGAAGAAATGGTGGAATAGACTAACTCAAAGGAGGGACAAAATGAAATATGAATGACCAAAATTAAAATAACATTTTAATTATTTATTTAAAATAATTGAATTGTTCAATTGTCTTGTGGCAAGTTGGCCATAGCGAGTTGGCTGTAGCAAGTTGTCCCATTCCAATTCCTAACTACTCACAACTGAAAGACATGAGCATGAATAACATAACATAGGCTGAAGCTGCCTCAGTTTCCCCAACTAGAGCAGTAATTATATAAACATATCCCAGCTTCCTAAACTATTAAAACATTTTCTATTTTATTAATTTTTAATTACTTTTCCAAATGTTAAATATATACATTCCATCTTTCCTTAAGCAGTGTGTTGTCTGAGTACAAATATTACTATGCAACATCCTTCCACAAATGATAATACATTTAACAATTAAATATTATAATGCTCTTCCTTTCTTTCATTAACATGTGTTCCAATAAAAATACCAAAATAACATTAAACATGATTATTCTCATTATAGTAGTACTAACAATTGTCATTTTATTCTCATTTTTATCTTAATATATTTTCTGTTTCTCTTTTAATCTTCTTCTCCCCCCCCCCTTTCCTTTCCTTTTATTTCCAATTTCCTTTTTTATTCTTTAACCATTGGTAAAACACTTCCCATATCAAGTAGTAATCAGTTTGTTTTTTCTCCTTAATTGCTAATGTTAATCTATTCATTTCTGTACATTTTAATATTTTCCTAATTATCTTCTTGTCAGTAGGAATCTCTTCGCTTTTCCAATGTTGTGCAAATACAATTCTAGCTGTAGTTAATACATGAATAATTAAATATGTATTCTCTTTACTATTAAAATATTTTCTAGTAAGCTAAGATTTTGTCAAAATACCAAAATCTGTAGATGATACTATAGTGTAAGCTTTGTTACTTTCTTATTTGAATATCATCCAATATAAAGTACAAAAGGGCAGTTTTTTCATTAGCCCCTTCACCCCTCCTGCTCTCCCACCCAAGGGCAACCATACTGTCAAGTATCTGTTAATTTGGAAAGACAGGAGGAAGAAGTCTAGACTTTAAATCTCAGACTACAGACATTTAAATTTCTAGTATCTTTGCCCTGGAAATAGGCAATCAGTTGTGCATTTCTGCTTTACTGTTTCTTTTACTGTTTTCTGCAGTAAAAATTCTAATCTAGACAAGTCAAATCTGGGAGTCATTTCTTTCTGACATTGCCTTTTTTCATCTTACTCTCTAACATTCTTTTTCCCCATCTCTTCAAGGAACAGGATACTGGGAAAGAAATTTAAGTTTGCTTTTGAAATAAGGCCAAAAGCCAATCAACATTAAGTCAGCCTATCATTCTACAATTGTTGGTTGTATTGCCCTGCTTTAGTGAAAGAATGATTTATTTGATTGACTAATTGATTGTGCCATCAAGTCAGGATGGGTTCTTAATGACCACATAGTTAAATTTAAAACTAAATACAAATTTACTTGTAATTGATTTGATGGAAGAAATTGAAAGTTTTGCTTAACTTTTCTAGTGAAGTCAACTGAATCTCAAAGTACATAAATTAGGTCAGAGTCTGATTTTTTAAAAGTAATTAGAAATATTGCTGTATTTAATATTTACCTATTTACTTATTCAAAGCAGAAGTGGTATTCAGCCGGTTCTGACTGGTTCTGGTGAACTCATAGCAGAAATTTTGAGTAGTTTGGAGAACCGGCAAATGCCACCTCGGCCTGGTTCCACCCCCATCTATTTGCTGCCTCTAGAGTCCCAGCTGATCACTTGGGTCTTCTTTTGTTGCCCTGTACAGGAGAACGGAGCTGGAAAGCAGGTTGGTGGGGTGCGGATGGAATGGGGATTTTGCAGTATTCTTCCCCTGGAGTGGGGTGGGGATGGAGATTTTGCAGTATCCTTCCCCCAGATGTCAATGTCTAAAGAGTTTCCATGACTACTATCAACTTGAGAAGGGGGGGGGAATGCCATTCATAGTTTTGACCAGAGTAAAAAGTCTCATATTTCTGTAACTGGGATGTGAATGCGCATGTCCAGAACCCTGCCGTAATGTCCTGTTAGAGAATGTGACTGATGACTTCAGGCAGAGGGGGAGGGGACACAGGGGTAAAATTCAAACGCCATTAAGTGGGATTTAGTTTTGGCTCCACAGAAGTCCATGCCAAGATGTTAGTCCTAATAAATGAATGGGGTTTTTTTGAACTTTGTCTCGAGGCTCGTAAATTAATTAGGTCAACTCTTGGAAACTTCACAGAGAGCCGAAACTGACTTTTAAAAATCTATTAAGATTTCTGGGTTTCCTGAATCCCGGGCTCTCCAAGCACTCCCCCAATATTTGGGGTGCTTGGAGGGAAAATCAGGCAACAGGAGGTTGAAGAAAAAGACTGATTACAACTGGAGCAGCAATGCCAAGCAGTGATGTCTTCCCCAGCAGCAGAAGCAAGAAAAGATGAATACTTTTGGAAATCAACCCTTAAAACAGCTGACCTGGAATTCCCCTGTCCTAGTCCCCAGATACAGGGAAGGGTCTCAAGCAAGCTGGCAAAGGTGAACTGGAGGTGGGACTGGAAACAAGCCAGGCTCCCAAAGCCCCAGATGGAATCCCTAGGGAGTGCAATAGAGCAAATGAAGGAGGATCTTGACCAGGCCACCCTTGCTGATGGGGGCCATTGTGCCGTCCAAAAGAGAGGGGAGGGACATCTGATCCTATTGAGGGGAGGAGATGCAGACTGGAGCACAGCCCCCCTCCCCCTCCTGATAGAAGGAGCCCAAAATGGCAATCAGTGCCTCTCCCACTCAGCAGGCAGGCTGCCAAGAGCAGACAGCCCCCTCCCTCTCTCTGAACTAGGGGTGAAGAAGATGGCCAGCCATATCAGGCGCAAGCATACAGAGGCTGACAGGAGGTTGGAGGAGTAGGGCTGAACGACCCGTCCCAATTCAGGGGAAAGTTTGACGGAGACTCAGACCAGCTAGCTCTATTTCTTGATTCAGCTGATATCCACCTAGAATGCTATGGGCACCTCTACCCATCCCCCAGAACCATGATGAATGCCATCGCAGAGAGTCTAGAGGGAGAAGCAAGGGAATGGCTAGCAGCCCTCCACAAGAGGAGAGCCCCCCAACTGCAAGACATAGATGACATCCTGTGACTGCTAGAGGCCAGGTTTGAGGAGGGGGAGGAGGACCCATATGCAGAAGAGGAACTCAGCAAACTAAAGCAGAGGGACCACCCCATCAAAGAGCACATCCGTGAATTTAGGAGGGTCATAGGAAGGCTACCCCCTTTACCAGAGCGACTGCTGGTGCATTTCTTCAGAACAAGCCTGGACAAGCAAATTGCCCAGGTAACCGCATACTGCGACATCCCAAATCAACTCTCTGAGTGGTTCCGGGTGGAAACAAAATTCAACAGTGGGCTGTGTGCCAACGATATGAGAAAGCAACTGGACACAAAAGACAGATGTCAACCTGACCTGAAACCACCCAGCCGGCGGGGAACCACAGCACCACAGCAGACCCTGAGACCAGCCCTCCCTCGAAGTCCGCTGAAATGCTACAGATGTGGTGGGATGGGCCACATGGCAGCTGCATGCCCAACCCAAGCCCCCAAACCAAGGCCAGACCCACCGCCCAGGGCATGACCAGAACGAGGCCCCAAATGGACCACCAACAGGTCCAGGAATACCCTCCAGGCTGCAGATGCCCCTTTCCCCCAGGCAAAATGATGGAACCCCAGGCAACGACAACCAGTTGCCTGAACCATATGACAGCGAGGATGAGGGAGAAAATGACAATGGTGAGAGAACCAATTTACCCTTTCCTTTTTCCAATATGCCTCACAGCCCCAAAAACTGGAAACCAAGGGGATTTTCAAGACTCAGGCTGCACAAGGTGCTTGATTAATCTAACCACAGTCCTGAAACTGGGGATCAGAGCAAAAAGACTGGCCCACCCGATCCGGTTCGAGCAGGTCGACGGGTCCCTAATGGGAGGAGCCTATGCCACCCACCTGACTGAACCAGTGAGGCTAGAGCTAGTGGATCACTGGGAAGTAATTCGATTCATAATAGCCCCCAAAATGACAGACACAGTCATACTGGGACTTTCCTGGCTAGACAAGTGGGGATCGACCATCTGGTGGCAAGGGGGTATCCGTAGACCTAGGATATCAAGGGCCCCCCAACCTTCCCACACCAGCAAGCAGAAATACCACCCATGCTGGAACCCCCCCAAAGAGCCCACAAGAACAACTGGCAACCACATCTGACAAAACCCCAGAGGCCGAACTGATTCTGATGGCATATCAGGACCTTGCAGAAGTATTCAGAGAGGCCGAGTGCAATGTTGTGCCTCCCCACTGGGAGACAAACTGTGCCATCGAAATCATCCCTGGGGGAAAACTACCCAAGCCCAAACTGTACACCATGACACCATGAAATGCAAGAGATGTGCAAATACATAGACAAAAATCTAGCAAGGGGGTTCATTGAGCCAACCAAGCCATGGGTCGCAGCGCCAGTCCTCTTCAAAGAAAAAAAAAGATGGAACTATGAGGTTGTGTGTGGACTTTTGAGGGATAAATGGTGTGTGCGTACACAACCTATACCCTCTCCCCTCATGAAGGACATGCTATCTCATCTGGTCAAGGGAAACGTCTTCACCAAACTAGACCTCAGAGAAGCATACTACCGAGTATGTATCAGAGAGTGAGAGTGAGTGGAAAACAGCATTCAACTGCCCCCTAGGGAGCTTTCAATTCAAAGTGATGCCTTTCGGACTGTGAAAGCTGTAAAAGATGCTTTGCATTTTCTCAACATAAGGTTGAGTAGGGGCCCCCAGCAGTATTCATCCAGTTAATAAACAAGGTGTTGCACGAGCACCTCTACAAGGGGGTCCTTGTCTACCTAGATGACATCCTTATCTACACTGAGACAATGGATGATCATGTATCCCTGGTCCGCCCAGTACTGGAAAAACTTCTGGCAGCCAACCTGTACCTCAAGGTATGAAAATGTGAATTTCACCATGCACGGTTAGACTACCTGGGTTACCGAGTGTCAAATGGGGGAATAGAGGTGGACCCAGCCAAAGTGCAACCCCCTAGCAGCTACAAAGTTTCCTAGGTTTCGCGAACTTCTACAGGCAATTCATCCCCTCCTTTGCAAAAATTGCCAAACCCCAAACAGATCTCCTGAAGACAGGGAACCCAGGAACGAAACCCCATCTGGGACAACCCCTATAGTGGGACCTAACCTGCAAAGAGGTGTTCAAAACACTAAAAGAAATGTTTGCAAAGGAGCCAGTGCTGAAGCATTCTGACCCTGAGCAACCTTTTGTGATCTAGGCAGATGCCAGATGGCAGTGGGAGCGGTGCTACTCCAAAGAAACAACCAAGGAAACTTACAACCCTGCACCTACACCTCCCGCAAGCTCACAGACACAGAGAGATGATGGGCTGCTTGGGAAAAGGAGGCTTTCGCAATGAGATGGGCACTGCTAATATGGAGACACCTGTTGGAAGGGGGGCAGAATCCGTTCAAAGTCTGGAGGTGCTTAGGACCCCATGGAAACTATCACCCAAACAAGTCCGATGGGCTCAATACTTCAACCATTTTGATTTTGTTTTAAAGCACATTCCAGGGAGGATAGTAGGCTGAAGAGAAGTTGGCTTTGGGTTTGTGGTCTAACAACTCCTGAAAAGTACCACTTTTACTCTAATAGAGTTGAACTCTAATCTTTACATGTGATCTGAATCTAAGGGCCTATCTAAATATTTCTGTTCAATGAACAGGTGACAACTGTGGCTACGAGGATTTTTGCACCAGACTTTTGACTTATTCATTGACAATAACCTTGGATGACTATGCTCTCAGTCTTGGATGCCCTAGTCCAGGGGTCAGCAACCTGTGGCTCTGGAGCCACATGTGGCTCTTTCATCCCTTTGCTGCAACTCCCTGTCACTCAAAATATGCGTCACAACTGCCAATGTGTGATACCTTACAGCATGTGATTTATTGAGCTTTTCTATGCCTGGTAGGCCAACCATGGATAAAGAAAAGAAAAGTTTCAGAAGAAAACAGACCATTTAATTCAACTACATATGTTAGTTCTGTGGTCGCTTAGGAAATAGTCAGGCACGAGGAAGATTTTGTGACTCCTGGTGTTTTCTTTTCTGTGGGAAAGGGGTCCAAATGGGTCTGAGTGTTTAAGGTTGCTGACCCTGTCCTAATCATCCTTCATCTGGCTTACTATAATATGTTCTACATGGGGCTACCCTTGAAGCAACATCTATAGCAGTGATGGTGAACCTTTTCGACCACATCCACAATTCAATAAGCCCCACCAACCTGCACATGCATGCACAACACACACACCCATGCAGGGGGAGTTTTTTACCCTCCCCAGGCTCCGGAGGCTTTCCTGAAGACTGGGGAGGGTGTGCCAGCAAATATGGCTCCTTGTGCCACCTGTGATATAAGTGCCATAGGTTCACCATCAAGGATCTATAGTATATCTCAGTGATGCTGCTGCTTTGCACTTAATATTGGTTTGCTTTTAGGTGTGATTCAAGGTGCTGGTTCTCAAGGTGCTATGTTATACTACATGGCCCCAGTTCTAATAATCTTTCATTTTGTGTAAATTCACTATATAATGGTTCTTTTAATTCAGCAGTTATTTAGAGTAAATATACTTATGGATATATTTTACATACTGTCTGTGATGCATTCTTTTCTTCCTGTTCCCTATCCGATTCTTCGCTTGTTTCTGAACAGGAATCAAATGGATCATTATAATATTCTTCTGCAGTAAGTGGATCCTCTGGGATCTCTGCAATAAAAGCAGACTTAATTTGTGAATGACAATAAATTTTAATGCAACTTACAACCAAAACAGGGACAACTAATTCATTGCTAAGTGAGAAATCATGTAATTATGACTTGCAACCTTCCATACTGCCTTCCCCATTGACTTTCCTTGTTGAAATCCTGAATGGAAAAATTCCAGTTGGTGATGCTATAACTATGAGGTGCTCTGACTGTTGAAAGTGTAAGGGCCAGTCATAAGTTACTTTTTTCAGTAGCATCATAACTTTGAACAGTTGTTAAATAAATGGTGGTAAGTCAAGGATTTTACTTTTGAATAAAAGTGTAGGGTTAGGGTTAGGGTTAGGATAAAGGTGTCATTCTTTACAAATAATTGTAGTCAATTATAGTTTTAGCAGAAAGCATTTCAGCTCCCAAGTCAGGATATTTCTCCCTATTCCCTCTATTTATTGTTCCCAATCCCCATAAAAACATGTTCTTGAGGGTAGCATTTAGCATGAGAAGCTGTAGAGATAAACAGAAATCAGCTACTTCAGTTTACATGACTATAAATGCTTAATTCAGACCAAAATGTTGACTACATTCAATTTTCAAAAACTGATAAAGGAATTCAAAATACACAGACAAAATGTATCACATTTACCTGGTAGAAATATATCCTTGATCTTAACACGAATCCCTTCACAAAAAAAGACTAGATAGAAAACATTGACGGGGCATTGGAGGAACATGTGCCTGGGCAAATCTAAAAGGTCCTTCCCATTTTGAAGATAAATTAATAGAGCTAATAGAGCTTGTCTTTTAAATACAATATAATGTATTTATATTAATATATTAAATATAATATATTGGCAAATGAATAGAATTTAATACATTTTTAGTGATTCTGATCAGGCAACATGCCTGAAAATGTTTATTTCTGAGAGTTGTCATGCAACAAGCTTGACATTATTTGCTTTTCTGAAAACAGTTTAAGGAGAATATATCCTATAGCTCTTGCATTTATTCTTTATTCTTGGGCATATTTTGCATTTAATAAAAACTGCCACATACAATATACAACCCAGAGCAACAGTGGACTGCTCAGTTTAGCCAAGTATTACATTTTTATGAACCATGATCATTGGACACATCCCTATTTAAAGTGAAAATGAGAAAATTATAACATCGTTTGAAGCAAAAACATAGCTTTAGTACTAGACCTCCAGCATACTTGTGTTGCTGCTGAGAACTAATGGTTGCAGATGGCTGCTGTAAACTGAAGCTCATTTCCTACAAATCTCTTCCTTTGTTTTGACCTAGCAACATTGGAGTTTAATAATTTCAATTTTTTTCTTAAGTAATGCTTTGTTGAATCATTTTCAGAAATGTTAATTTTCCAAATGTTACAGCAAGCTTGTTGCTTCTCACTATAGATATGTCATTGTCATTACAATTCCAATTAGCAGTAAAAGCCTATAATAATGTGAAAAAAGCCTACAATAATGTGAAAAAAATGGATGTCATTTCCTAGGAACTCACTCAAATCTATAGCTAGGTTGGGTCTGGAACAGACATGGTACAACCAAGTCAGAGTTCTTTAAGATTAGCAAGATTTTCAGAGAAAGAAATGATCAGTCTGAAGCACTGGAGTCAATGACCATGATGAAATGCAGAACTGGTGAGTAGACCAGCTGTTCCTCACAAAGAGAATGTAAGATATAAGATATAAGTCTTCAGTAGTTTTAGAGCTTTGGGAAATGAGAGAATAGCCATCTTACTCTAACAGAAATCACTGCTTTTGAAAAGACGATAAGTTCGCATACTTCCTTTTCTAATCACTTTCAGAAATTACTTGTTAATTTGCAACACTGGATGAATTTCCTTTAATCCTTTATGAAATAAATTTTAGGTACAAGTTCAAGAAAAAAACTCTCTTTTTTTCAATAAACAGCAAAAAAGTGATTTGATTTCATAAAGTTACAAATAAACTAAGGATCCAGATAATAATAGTTTGGAATTAATTATAAAGACTCCTTCCTGTGTTTTGTTTTGATATTTGTGAACAAAAAAATAAAGAATGTGAAAATTCGATATTAGAGACTACAAAAGATTACAATTAAGGAGCAGCACATAAAACTGACTTTTTTTAAAACTGACAAGAAACCAGCTGATGCCTAAATAATTAAAAAGGATTTACAAAAACAAACCAAGAGTGTGACCTAGATAATTTTCCTATATTTACAAAAGAAGCTTATTAAAGCTTTGAAAAATTCTTGAGAAGGGATAAAGAACAAATGAAAAAAAATCAAATTCAATAACATTATTGGAACAGGCCAAGGTTAAAATTAGATATATTGTAATTTCTGATAATGCTTAATGAACTTTCTGCTGACACCAGGACTAAATACATTATGTTTTATATATTTTATAAAAAAGGGGATAGTCTGAAAAGATCTGAGATAATTGGCTGTAAATTAAAAGGAGGTAAAATGGTATAGATGTTTATACTTGTGATTAAATTTGGAAGTTACTTTTTCATATATCTCTTTTCTCTTTCTTCCTATATTCTTTCTTTTTTGCTTTTTGCTTTTTTCATCTCCTTTGCACTTTTCATTCATTCTTTCTATTCTTTCTTTTTTCAGTTTTCATTAGATTTTATTATTGTAATTAAAATATTTAGCACAAATTATAAAATCATCGTCATCATCACCATGTCACTCTCATTCACAAAAATTAAATAGATATGTAAAAAATATAGTATGAATATTGAATTTTAGACATTTTTAACCACTTAAAGCATTTTGCTACAGAAAAAAATAACATGCAACATGCCCAAATTTGTTCTTGGGAAATTATCGCCTGCTTTGTTTGGATCTGAATTTCTTTTATGACTACTACAGTGTTTTTTTAATGAGGTAAATGGTGTCTCCTTTCCTAGAGTTCTTATTGCATAAAAGGAGTATTCCAACTTTTATATGCTGCTATAAATACTGAGTGTTTATTTTTAATACAATGAAATAAGGTAAGCATATAAGAAAGTATAATTTCGCTCAACATTTATAATTTTATAATGGACAAAAATGTAATGAACAAAATATTTTTCTTACTATATACCAATTTTATTTTGGAAACAAAGATTTTAGAAATATTGTCAGTGAAAATTAATTATGCACCCTTTCTCACACAAACATGTGTGAATTATCTATAAATTACATAGTGCCTCTAAAATTTATCTAATTAATCTTAATTTAGTATTCATAATAGATGAACTCAAATTTCTTTAGTTAAATGTTTCAAATCTGGTTTCAAATCTGGTTCACTACTTAAATATTAGAAGTTTTGATGATAATTAATCTTCATTTAGTATTCATGACAGATTAACTCAATTTTCTCTAGTTAAATGTTTAAAATCTAGCTTCAAATCTCATTCAGTATTTAAAAATTAGAAGTTTTGGTAATGATTCTGCAAAAATGCTTATTTTTTTCTAGATGTTCTCTCCATGGCAAAATATATTGCCAATGTTATTAGACACCGACTGGGTAAATCAGTAAAACATTTTCTGTTTGAATCAGAGGATAAATCAATAGTCTTCCTAGTTGGATAGGAATGGACTGGTACTGAAATGTAAGTAACACAAAGTATACAATACATCCCAATATTAAGAGACAACAAAATCTGAGTAAAGCGCAATAGCCTATACAGTGATAGTAGTGTTGGACTATTGTTTTGTGTATAGATTTTACCAGTATATAGAACTGTTTTAAAAGACAATGCTTTAAAAAATGTTATTTCAGAAAAAATGTCACTGGACTGAACTACTGAAGTTTAAGTAGAAACCTATATGTCCATCAATCTCTGTCAGAAGATAAGCACAATCAGTTGGTAAAATGTTTTAAAGAATGTATGGCAATATGGTAAGAAATACAGCACTTTAAAAAAATATTTTAGTTTTTCTTTTTTTAACCAAAGATAAAACCTTAAAGCTATTCTTTGCATTAGCTGACCAAATGCCCTTAACAGAATATTGAGGTCTGTGCCAGTGGTGGGTTGCAGGAAGTACGCCCCAGTACGGCCATACCAATGCCTGCCGGGAGCATAGGGTACCATTCTAGTATGGTGCTCGGGAGCGGCCACACGTCTGCCCACCCTCCTTACTTGTATTTGAGCTCTTCAGCGCTTCCATACACATGCACGGAGCGTACAGTGCCTGTGTGATGCTCCGCCGAGTAGCTGGAGCGTTGCAGAGGTGTTGCGGTGGCGTTGCGGAGCATTGCAGGAGGTAAGGACACATGTGTGCGCTGTGCATGTTCATGTGGTGGATGCCGGGCCCCATTGCACCATATCGGTTGCAACAGGATCCAGAACACCACTGGTCTGTGCCTAAAGTGGCTACATAGGTTGTAGATTTTTTTAAAATGCAGTTTGATTTGTGTAGCATTTAAAACCCTACTTATGATTTTATTTGAAAAATAAAATTTTCTAGAATTTCTCTAGAGGCACAATGTTATTGCCTGTGTATTCAGAAGTAGCTAAAGTGTGTTTATTAAGGTTTATTTCCAGGCAGTCCAGGCAATACTTCTCACAATCCAGATTTATATTTAGCCCATCTCTATTTAAAACAAACCCATTGGCAAAATATTTAATACAGGATATGAATTAAATTAAATTTCCACATTTGATTAATGTAAATTATGATTAAATTATGAATAGATTATATCTAATCTATATGATTACATTCTCAATTATTGACATTCCCAATAAATTTGTCTAATGCTTCTTGAATTGCTTCTTGAAGCAGATAGGGCTTCTATAAAATTAAGATCTCATGATATTTGCTTTCAATAGTATATTAAAAAGAAGACTGTCCGTAGATTCTAAAAAAAAGATAGGTAAGTTACAAGTCTTGAGAGATCTTCTTCATAGGTTAATATAAACCTAGTGCAAGAGAGATACTTAGAAATAAATAAGTTGATTATTGATGTTGATTATTAGAAGAAAATCTACTTTCATTCCACACGGAA